GTGGGAATGCAATTTGCAATTTTGGTGCTTTTCAGAAGAAATGGCACTGTGCAGTAGTTTGTGATGTTGAGACACCGGTATGGTTTTCCGATGCACTAAATTCTGTAGCATCCTTGTGCAAGCACGTTGATTAAATGTGATGGTTGCTCTCAAATAGTGGGATCGGTGGGAAAGGAATCAGTCACCTTTTTTTTTTTAAGGTGTAAATTATACGGAAGGTGAAGAAGTGACACAAGTAGAAATAATACTCGCTGTGTAACTTCAGCCCTGCTCATAACAATTTTGCAAATTTTCAGATGCTGCCCAGTGAGGATGACTTTTCAAATACTCCAAATAGGTCAGGGCAGGCTTCTGTTTTGCAGTGTAACAATGGGGTTTTTTATTTATTTTTCTGCAATGCTGCAAAATGTCTTTCCAATATTTAATTTGCTTAATAACAGGTATCTATAGAATTTGGCAAAAGAAATTTCTGAAGACTGTGGATGGTAAAATGTATTTTTCCCCAGAGTACTTGCTCATTATGCTTATTGCTGTGGCACAGTCTAGTTACTTAAGGTACTGGCTTTTGGGTTTGATCTGGTACTTCCCCATTGCTGTCCTTGTGATTGTCAAGGGACTTCCATCTATTACACATATATTTTTTAAAAGCTAAAAGTAACACATGTATTAGTTCTTCCACCTGCAAAATTATAATCCTTTTGACACTGAACTTGCCTGCCTGCCCTGCTGAGGAAGGGTAACTACCACAAAAGTTGAGAAGAAAAGCAAACTAACTCTCTTCAGAGCAACATAATGGTCCCAAAGATGAAGTGATCATTCAGGTAGCAAAAAAAAAATTGCATTTATATAGAATTACCTTAATGAGAATGAATGTCCAGCTGCTCTCACGTGAGTACTGCAGCGTGCTTTCCTCGAGGCTGTTTCCTGTTTCCCTGTTCGATGCTTCACCTCTACCTCTGTGTCAGAACATTTTTTTTTTCCTTTCTATCTTCCACCTCCCCACTGGGGAAGCTTAATACACTTACTGCCACTGTGTGAAGGAGAAATTTAAGCCTACAGATATTTTTGGGGTCAAAACCATGGGACCACACAGCCTCTTCCAAGTTCACCGTACGTGTGCTCTTCCCTCGGCTCCCCAGGCTGACAGGGTTGTGCTCTAAGAGGATTTAAAACTGAGTTGTGATCCAAGTGCTTTTCAGGGTTCTTTGAAGTCCTAGACTGTCCATTTGAAAGCGAAATATTTGAGTATCCTTAGGACTCAAGGTTCAAACAATTTCTGGCTTGAATATGTTAAAAAGAATAGATGAAACTTGGCTTTTTTTTTCCACTTTTTTTTTCCTCCCTCATATGCAAAGGCATGTCCTCCTTTATTTGAGATCGTATGATATTTTACTTTTTTTTTTTAATTAATGCATTGTTTTAATATGTTTCAGTCTGCTCTCCTGTATTTAAATCATCCTCCTATTTACAGGCAAGCAGGATGACAAAAATAACTGTGGTTTCATAGTGAATCAGTGGAATTTTCCTGCATTTCTCCCCTGATGACTTGGCCGACTCCTAGAGCGCCTAAATGCTTTTGCATTTTTGCTTGCAAGAAAGAGGTGGTTTCCCTCCTGCATTCCTGTATTTTTCCCTATCTTTAAGTCTCGCTGGGATTTGGTTTTGTTTACTACACAAACAGTAGCTACGGCGTTGCGTATCAGGTCATAGATCACTGCGTGAAATGAAGGTTGCTGCATGCCTTATTGAGGGTGGGTTAAAAAAAACCCCGCAGCCTCGTGATGGCTGATTTAAATGTGGGTATTTGGGGAGAAGGGGTTCCAGATCTCCTCAGGGATTGCATTGTCAATTGTGTTTGGTTATTGCTTTTGCAGCCTTTAGTTTCTTCTCTTTCTTTAATGAAGAAATATTTTTTTACACTGGCCCTCTTTTCTTTCTCTTTTTTTTTTTTTGGCACAGGAAGGCAATCGTTGCTCGTTAACGTTGAAGAGTGGTGGTTGTTTTTAAAAACTTGCATTGTCCCCAGTTACTGCAGTTCTGTATCCTCAGATAAAATACCTATTCTGCGAGGAGTCATAAAGATATGCTGTAACAGCTCATCCTCCCAACCCCCCCTTCTCCTTCAGTTATCAACAGCGCGTCAGTGGAAATTTCCACCCTTTGCTAATGTGAGAGAAAGCAGAAAGTTGCAAAGCAGCCTTTGGAGGGAAAAAAAAAAAACAAACCCAACTTATTGCCGTTTTAGGAACACAATGAAGAGCAGCATACGGCTCGCGAGCAGAAATGAAATGAAATTCTTGAGAAATGGTGGGACTAAAATGGTGCGGCGAAGCGCACGGATTGCAATGTGAACGAATGCTCTTGCGAAGGGAAGGGGGCATGAAACTGGTGGTGGATCACCAGCTAGAATTTCTGCCCCCATCCTCCTTTCTGTTAGTTGCCACTGTAAGGGAACTTGGAAGGCTTCCTCCCAAGGAGAAGGGTTAAGTGTCATCTGTTAAATAAATGGCTTTAACAGAAAACACGACTTTCCCTTTTTAAGGGCTGTGCATCCTTCAGATGTTGCTGTGCAGTATTTCTTAATGAATCATCCAAGCTTAAAAATTATTTCTCTCCCTAAACTTTTAACCAGGTGGCACCTCTTAATTCTGGAGACCAGAAAACCATAGACAGTTCAGTTTTCCAAATATATGAAGCTAAATCCCGTTCCCCAGTGAGGCCGATGAGGATTTGTGAGAAGGACTGAGCCCACCAGATTTCTTCCAAATCCTTCTTGAGGCAAGTGATTCCTGTAGCTCTCAGTAGCCCTGCTGCAGTCAGAGGAGCAGGACCTTCGCTGACGTGACCTGGCACCGGTCCCTTGGCTTCAGGGATGCTCGGCCACGACCTGCTGGGCATCTCTTCTGGAGGACTCATTGCTTCAGTGTGGGCTGCAGGGAAATTTTTTTTTTTTTGCCATCAAACCCCTCTCATACAAGAATTCAATACTTAAATCTGGTCTTTCTGAAAAAGGCTTTGGAGACAAATGGTGGCTATTAATGTAGATGCCTGCGTAAGAGTTTAGGACGAGGATGCCTGGCTAAGGAGAAGCATCTTTGCCGTTTTTTCCGCGTGTGGATTCCGCCCCTGTGCAGTAACCCAGCACATGCTGCTTGAGTCATTTCTGGCCTGATGGGTCTCCTCTGTGTGTAATATTTTTGGTGCAACTCATTTAGTTGGATGAAAATGAACTCCATGCAGCATGAAGAACATGAGTGTGTCTGTTGTTCATGACCCCATCTCCTGTATTTCCTGTTCAGACTCCCAGTTCAGCTTCTGGTCTTGAGGACTTACCCTCCAAGATTACCTTTATGAAGATGGACTGTGATGCTTACGCTGTAGTTGACTTAGTAAGAATCCATACCTCTTGCAGAACAAAGTCCTGTCTGTTAGGTACAGTTTTTAAATCAAACTGGGATGCTTGGTCCTGCTTCGGTAATATGACATCGCTTTCAGGTTATGCTGATGCGTTGTGGGGAGGTGTGCTTGGGTGGACTAGGAGGGAAGCGGAGTTTTAATAAGAGAATGTGTAAAGATTAAAATGAAATAGCTAGGTGGGAAGTGCTATGCTGTACGTTTAGCCTTTAAATTACTGATGGTCTTGGAAATTAGGTGAGTGCTTAATTCTCTTCAGTAGGATTTCTGAGATGGTTGCGGTGTCTTTTAACTGTACTGTAGTTAGTGCTATGCCAAATGCAGGCAAAGTGATTAAAAGTGTTCTGGTTACAGCTCTATTGACAATGCTGGTTCGTTCACAGCATTTCAAGGGAGAAGGGATGGCCAGTGACATGGGTCGCTCATTTTTTTACATTAGTATGATGGCTGGCACTGGGTCACTCATAATTTTCAGGAACAGTAGGTGTGATGTTGCTAATGAATTTAAGGTAATGAATTTATGTTAAGAGATGGGATCTGAATTTGCATATCTGAGGTTAAGTTAGTGTGCAGCGTGTAGTTTTGTCCCTTGCCCTGAAATGGGGCTTATGAAGCAGAGTGCATCTCTTTCCTTTTTCAGGTGTAGTGGTGATTTAAAAGCCTCTTGCAGAATTATAGTTGAAAAAGGTGCAGTTCTTCTGCAAAGGAGTTTATTGCAGAAGTAACCTCGGTGACCTAGGATATTAATGGGAAGCAATGTTCTCCTTCCCATAGGTAGGCGGTTGACTTTTTCTTTATAAATGTCAGACAGCTGCGTGGTGGACATGAAGTGCTTACCTGGAGCAGTGTGTTTTATACGTGCTGTGTGTGTGTGGAAGTAGAGACCTTTTCAGTCCTGCCAAGGTTGGCACAGCAGTGTGCTCCTCAAATCCCAGCTGTGCAAGTGGGCATTGCCTGTACGCGGCTTCACGTCCTACCCTCAGATTGAAAATTTAAGCTGTGTTCACATCAAAGATGTACCTAATTTGGGATATGTCCATCTCCTTGGGTTTCTTTTGCTGTGTTGTTTTTTTTTTTTTTAATATCCATTCAGCTCTGAAGTGGAACTTTAAAGGAAGAAATGTGCCTGTATGCATGTAAGCTTGAGGTGTTTCACACTGGCATCTGTTCCTCAAAGAAACAATGTCATGAATTTGAAGAAGGAGGTTGCGTGTTGTAACTGAGTGTGCCACCCTACCTTTTTTTTAAGACTGTTCAAATCAAGATGTGGAAATGAATGGGATAGGTACAAGAAGAGTAAGCTCTCTTTAATCTCCTTCGGTAAGCAGTGCTGTACAACAAAGAAAAGTTCAGGCTGAGCCTGCTTCAATTGAACTTTTCTTATTTGAAATCAAGGTAATACAGAAATTTTGTTTAAAACAATTCTGGTACCAAAATGTAAGAAAAAAAATTAGAAAGTTTTATTTAAGAAATCCCATGTAACAGTTACTTGAATTAAAGTTGTTGCAGTACAGGTTTGTGGGGGTTTTTTTGTTTGTTTTTTGTTTGTTTGTTTGTTTTTATTGTGTGTATGTTTCTCATTGCAGGTATTTTTTGATAGACTTAGAGGGCCCACCTTCGATTGTATCGACCATGATGGATCATTTAGGACGTGATATTGATGTAATTAGACGTGCTTTTATAAAGCATCATGTATCAAAGACAGAAGAATGCAGTGGCATAATCCCAGTCAACTATGAAGATAAACTACTTGCCAAGAGGAAGTGAATATTCCAAACAGCATGTTTGAAACCTTTAAAACTTTTTTTTAGTCCTACTTTGGAAAACAATTGTGATAACTAATGTCCATCAAAAAGAATCCGTTTTGGCCATGTTATGTGTGTGGTATAGTACACTATCTTAAGTTATTGTAACATTTGAGATTTCTTTTTGTTTAAAATAATTTGAATAGACTTAATCTGTATGCTTACTTGATATTTGACAACTCTGAAAATTGATTTTCTTTTCTCTTAGAGCATTGCATGATTAATGAAGATTTATCCATCATCAGAATGCTAAAAATAGCATTCTTTTCCAAAGATAGATTACTTCAGAATATGTATATTTACATAAGAGATGAAGAAGTCTACAGGGTAAATATAGCAGTATAGGATGTGATTTGTTGGCGGGGTTTTTATGCTTGTTTTTGGAAAAAGGTAATAAAAGCGTGATTGAAAATAAAACTTGACTCATTTTTTAAAAGCAGAAAAGGTACAAGAAAAAATGCTTGACACTGCCAAAAGACACGTCATACTTCTTTAAGGTAGAAAGAAATTCAAAGTACAGATAAAAAAAATTATTCTCTATAGAAGAGGCCAGAAAGTTCCAGGTGGCAGGTTAGAGAATAGCCATGCTTATATATGAAAAGAAGAATAAAAGATGCTTTGTTTTACCATCAGCTAGACCCAGGTGGACATTTCAAAATGAGAAAAATGTCAAGACACAGGTCTTAACATCTATTTTGTCTTTGTTCTGCTCTTGTGAAAACAGGAAAAAAAGCGGTGCACATGAAAGATGACATTAATGTAGTACAACCTCCTGCAGGTCTGACATAAATTCAGTAGTTTCCAGAAGACCTCCGTGTTTCCCCAGTGCTACTGAAGGAACGCAGTAGCTGTTTCACCTTCGGAAGGAGTGGGTGTGTCTCGTTATTTCTGTAGAGGAAAGTAAGTTGACACTGATACATTGTTATGCAAAGAGAATATTCTTTACCTGAATGAACTTCATTCAGAAGCTCCCGCCTGTGGCACTCCAGCATTGTGCATTGGCAAAGGGAAAGCCCATCTGGAGGTCAAGGTCAAGATTCCCAGAGACCTGTGACAGGTCTCCTTGGTGTGGCTGCTTTCTAGCGTGCTATTTCATGTTTGTGTCTCTTTTTTTTGTGGAGGTAGCTGGGTCGTTTGGGGTGGGGGGGATGCTGCTTTTTTCCTTGGATGCAGAATTTTTTGGGGAAAAAGAAACTGGCGTTTCTTCTGAGTATCTTTTTTGAAAGGAAAAACTGTATTAGAAAAACGAAAGAGGAATTTTTCTTTCTGTACGTCTTTATATAGGAGACATGAACGTGTGTGGTTTTGTGGGGTTTTGTTTTGTTTTTTTTTTTTTTTCTGGTGTTTTTTCTGTTTTTAAGTCTGCGTTCCTTTTAAGAGCAGACGGTCACATTTTCTGTCTTCTTTCCGGGAAAAAATATTGGAAGACTAGAGGAAAAGCACTACATGCTTACTGAAGCTGGATGTATATTAGATGTGCTTTTATTTTTCTAGCTACTGCCAGTTTTATTCATGTGGTTGCTGTCTTCACCAGTGCCTGCTCGAGGCAGAGCTTATCAATGATTTTTGCTTCTAGGACAGACCTTTCTTCCATAAGGGTGTGAGCTTAGCCAGGAGGAGCTATAGGTTTGTAAATCTATGCTATAGGTTTGGATCCCTGAGCTGCCCTTCTGGTGAGCTGCTGAAAATTCAGATTCGCAGCGTAGAAAGTGCAAACTGCAAGTAGGGAAACGCAGGATGCTTTAAAGAATGTGTCTTCCTCAAATGTTTCTAAGAAGCGTTTCTTTCTTAAATAGAAAGTGAACAGAAAGCCTATAGTTTAAAGTCACTTTGCCTCTGGCTAGGACTTTGGGCCCTAGATTTCATTTGAGTAGAAAGGAGAATATATAAGCTTTTAACTTCACAAAATGAAGAAGATTGCCAACAGAGGCTCTACGTATGTAAATGTTGTGTGCTTGTGTTTGTTCAATTTCCTTTGGCGTAGTATTAAATTTTGCATTTATTTTGTACCAATTTCTAGGTTGATGCCTTCATTCAGTAGGAAAATCCTAGACGCTCGTTAGAGATGAGACCATCAGGTTATTAAATACGTGACATTATATGTTGTGAATTAGGGCCTTTCGTCAGTCAGACATTCATGCCCCTCTTTTCTGTAGGGCCCATTTCTGATCTTAACAGAAGATTGATGGATGTCAAGAGCAGAAGACTTGAGGTCCCAAGTCCAGCTCATCCCAAGAGCGGATCAGCAGTAGTGTGTCTTCCAGATCCGCAGCCGATCCTATTTTCTGAAGTACTGAGCATGCAGAGGGGAGTGACCGAAAGTTGTCTTTGCCTTTGGAATAGAAACACTGCCCACTGAAACCAGCGGCCACAAGCAGAGCCATGGTTGCCGGACTGGTGTGCCAGTGACATGAGCTCTAGTGCTTTCTCAGCAGCAGGATTTATTTATAAAAGGGCTGCTGAATAGCTGGCTCTCAACTGGATGTACTATTTTCTTCATAATTGATAGTTTCTAATAGGAACTTTTTTTTTCTTTTTTTTTTTTTTTTTTTTAATAGGGGGTGGGATGGGGGAGGCTAAGGAAGGAGTCTTGGGTTGCAATTTGTTTGGCCCAGTCAGCCACCCAGACTGGTAGTTAGCTATTTTGGGAAGCTAATGTGTAACAGTGTGCGCCTTCTCTGTCAATAGCTGTAAGTGCAGGAATGGACACGACTATATGTGAAGACTGGAGCAGTTCTGGATTTGAACAAACAGTCTGAGTTGTGCCATGGAAGAAAGAGAGTAACTGTACTCTGAATGATCATAAATTTTTCCCTGCAGAGGAAGGGAAACCTTAGCACGTCTTTCAGATGTGGTTGTCTTTTTGATTGTCGATAGCTAGTTTGTCCCCCTGGGATGTGAGCGACTCTTGATCTCCAAGAATAAAATTTCAGGACACTATGTGGTATCGCTGGAGAGCCAGAAGAGTCTTTGCAGCCAAACCGTGGCCAAATACCTAAAATGTCAAAACTCCATTGGCATTCCCAAAGGTCTAAACAGTTTGAATACCAGTACTTTAACTTTTGTTTACCAAAGAATCTGATAGTGAAGCTCTTCAACCCTTCCTTAGATTGTGTTCCCAAGTGTATAAAATAAGTAGTTTTATGCTCCTAGATACTCTGGTTTTCTTGTTTGTGGATTGTGGAGATACACAGAGTTGGGTAAGTATTAAAATAACAACTGGCAGTTCTCGTGGCTCAGAAATGTTTTCTCTTCTCTGTCTTAACCTTCAGCAAACAAATGAGCACAAGTGGTTTTATGGTGAATATCTTAGGTATGTCTTCAATCACATCTTTTTCCTGATCTTGTCTCTTTCTCAGCTGAATTCTTGCACTATGTTGCCACTGGCTTGACCCCAGGAAGTTTCTGCATGCAGGGATTTGCTCCCATGGACAGATTTGTTCACCTTTGGAACAGTGGACTAGTCTGTCAAAATCCCGTTTGTTGATAGTGTGAGCTTCAAGAATTTCAGGATCCTCAGTGTCAGCAGAATGTTTCTGTCAGTAAATGTTTTAATGTCACTCTGAAAATCATCTTTCAGCTGGACTTCTACTTCGGAGCTGCAGGCTCAGCTGGGTACAACAAGCACATAGGGATATATTCCTTTGGAAGTCATCCGAGGAGTAATTAGAATGGCAACAGGCAACATGACTCATGGGCTCCTACTGTTGAATCTAGGCTTTGAGCACTGCAACACATCACCTGTCACTTAATGAGATCAGTTTCTGTTTAGTAAGTTGCTACATTCTGTTATGAAAGAAGACCTTGAAATTTAAAGCAGTCCTGTCAAGAGTCATAGAAATTTAAGACAGGACCAGTCTGCCACACATGATTTCTGTTCCGAGAGGCTCCTAGGATCTGTCCAGCACTGCCAGTATCTCCAGCATAAATGTTCAAGATTTGTAAGGCAAACCCCTCAGATATTTTGAACTCTTGGCCTGTAATCATGGCCTTAAAAATCATGAATATTGTTCAAAATGTGAGGTTCTTTTATTGACCTTTTGGATTTTATGATTCACTTTTTTTCAAACTTCGTTGCTGGCATGATTTTCATGTAACATCTGACTGAAGAACTCTCAAAAACACAAGCTATAGCAAATGAGATGCTTGATAAATTCATTGGGACTGGTCCTATGTCCCTCCACCCAGTGAAACAGAACAAGGGAAATTTAAAAGGGAATCATTATTGTGCTGTTTCGTAGGATTCTGAAGTTCAGATAGGGTAGAAGTAAGAATTGATGTAGAGCCAAAACATGCATTTTCCCAACTGCTGCACAAAGGGAAGATTAAAAATGTGTAACTCTCTGTGACCTAGTATGTGATGTGTTGCTTTCTTAGTGCTGCTTCAACAGACCTTTCAAAGCATGCAGGCTCCAGCTGGTGGACTTCTTTAGGCTAACACAGCTCCTCTTTGCACAGCTGCAGAGCAGTGGGAGAGTCGCCACTCAACTGAGTGCTGGTGAACAGGGGGAGTGACGCATTGACAGATTCCAGTTCTGGAGTATTCAAGGTTGCCTTCTGAAAGCATTTTTAATGGAAGGTAATGTTCACTGTAAACCTGGGAGACTTTTCATCCCTGTTATTTTTTAGGCTGCCAAGTCAACTTTGTTTGGAGAATGCTAACTGGCACATAGAAAATCTGGCTTATGAAAATCTTCAACACGTTTATGTTGAGGGTAGTTTTGGGGGGATACTGCAACTCCACTGAATCAGTAAGAGTCCTCTGGCTGAGTTCGGTAGGAGCAGATGTATCCTGAGAGTATGATGCACTTTCTCCCATGAGGAATCCTTTAGCCACCTTAACAGGATTTGCAGGCTTCTGAACTTTTGTCGATGAAGACAGTTCCTCGCAGGGGCTGGTTGGTTCACCTCAGAGAATGCCTAACATATGCAGGACTCTTCCAGAGCTTCTGGCTGTGGTAATGAGGTAAGCTCAGCTCAATTTTCTGCTGAGGGCTGATGTGAAAGTCACGTGCAGGGAGAAAAAGGCTTTAATTTTGAGTTTCCCTTCCCAGTTCACCTTGGAAGCAGCAGTGGGGTGAGGCAGGATGGAGAAGGCTTGTTGGATACTCGATGTTCTTGCAGGCTGTTTGCTTCCCTGTTTTTTGTACGTGATGAGCAGAATGAAAATGTCATATAATCTGTTCCGTCTGTATGCATTGGTACCTAGGAGCTACATGACTGAGGAAAATGTAAAGAACAGAATGTTTTTTATCTTCTTAATGCATGGGCATCATTCCCGTTCTCTTGTTCAGTGAGTGGGAATGTCGTGAAAGAAATACACTCACTCCTTAAATGTCAAGGAGGTAGGCACCTTAGAAGTGCTAGGATCCATCGCACTGGGGTGGAGGGGTGAATGGGGCCGAG